AATTTGCTAATGGACGAATTAAATTGACATATTGTTCTTCAAAAGCACACAATGTCGATCGATATCCTGGTCCCACTTCCAGGATTTTTAAGAGAGACAGTTGTCGAGCTCTAAAATTTGCAGCTGAAAAATTTGAGTGGAAATTAAAAAAAGAAGATTATTAAAAAAAAAGATTATGAAGTTCAGATAACTGTTAGATTAAGATTATATTAGGGTTAGCGGTTAGAGTTGGGGTTAGAATTTGGGTTAGATTAGGTTTAGGTTCATCTATCTCAATAAGTTATTGCGCGAATTTCAGTATTGTATTGTTACATTCCGGTCGCTAACTGATAGTTTTCTTCCCCAACTGAATTGTTGGAAAACTGATGGTGCGAAAATGTTTTCGTACATGCCTTTTTTACAAACTTTCCCATTTATGTATCGTACTTCGTTAACCTTTTCCGTAATTTTCGTAAATTCAGGAAAATTTTTGCGATAGGTATTACTTTTTATTCCCAGCCACTCAAATATATTCACTGACTACGAAACAATATGCGGAGTCAAACAGACATTTGCCGAGTCCGTGTTCAATGGAAGGGTGTTACTCCCTCCCAAATTCCCTCTAGGAGAAAAATAATTTTGGTCGACCTGAAACAGAGACACACAAATGATCTGTGAAGAGGCAGTGACAGTCGCCTTCAGTCGCCTACAATCAGGAGCAAAAATTATTGAGACAACCGCATAAGTGCCCCTCTCACCCACAATTCAATGTTGTGTGGGTGACTGAAAAGAGAAAATTCAACCCACTTTTTCCAACATTGATCATGGGGGCAGGGGGGAGGCCGACGTACTTTAAAATGGCCAAAAAGTCTCATTATTTTTGCACGCGATTGTCTGAGATGGAGCTGTCTGGGGGTTAGCTGTCCAAAATTTGAAATTTTGCCAAAATCTAGCGATCAAGATGACATGAGATTGATATATTTCAATCAATTAACCGAAAGTTTTTTGTCCCCCAAAATGTAGAAATTCTGCAAGGAGGCTGCGCGCGGGGGGTGGACCGGGCAAAATAAAGAAGCTTTTCTAACGAATTTAATTTTTACTATCATTTACTTACTAGAAAAAAATCTTTGGGAAAATAGACAAGTTGTAGGCTAAACACGATTTATTAAAATACTTTGCGATATAGTAACAACACATCCAATAAGCCATAAAAATCTAATGTAGTGTTTTAACTACTCTTACGTCCTTTCAAGCTCAATTAGCCATCATTTCCTCAGGAGGGAATCATTATAGCAGAGTTCCTCAGCCTAGTCATATGACGAAAAATGAGAAAACTTTGTCCTCAGTGCTTGTGGGATGTTCACCAACTAATCTAAAGTGATTAGTTCATGTAAATTTTATGCACTTGGCTTCATTAAGCAAACGCTGACACGTTACACACACGTTACACACACGTTACACTACACGTTACACTACACGTTACACTACACGTTACACTACACGTTACACAACACGTTACACTACACGTTACACTACACGTTACACTACACGTTACACTACACGTTACACTACACGTTACACTACACGTTACACTACACGTTACACTACACGTTACACTACACGTTACACTACACGTTACACTACACGTTACACTACACGTTAGACTACACGTTACACTACACGTTACACCTACTTTACATAATAATCTATAGTAAAATATATAGAAATATGACACGTTACACCAATTGTTTTTAAAAATAAATATATATATTTATTTTTAATAACAATTGGTGTAACGTGTGTAACGTGTCGTATCTCTATATGTTTTACTACAGATTATTATGTAACGTGTGGTGTAACGTGTGTGTAACGTGTCTATAATCAGTACGTAAAAATAGATTGATATTTTGCGCATGTGCGACCAGATTTGCTTGAGCTCATCTCACATAATCCCAAAATCATAGGACATGGAAGTTTGCAATAAATTCTAGTGCAAGTTTACGATCGGTAAGTCCATATATCAACATAAATAAAATGCTTGAATTGGGTTTAAAATCTAGTGAGTATGTCAATCTTATGTAACAATTCAGCTAAAAGTAGGAAAATCACTGAAAATTTTCCAATATTGTATACAAGTAGGTCAGAACGATGCGTTGTCTGTTATAAAATACTTGAACTTAAAGAAAATATTCTGTTTAAGAAAAAAATATATACTCATGATTGTCAGCGATGGGAAAAATAGTCTGAATTTTATTCATTATTTTATAATCTTCTTCTAATGTATATATTCATCAATTAATCGTCCTGTCCTAAAAAAATAACTATAGTTCTCAAGATCCCCTATATTCTTTCTACATGAAGCACTCAGTTATAGAAAACCGCTGAGAAAAAAATATTAAATAGCAAAAGGTTCACTAAGCAAGGAATCCAAGTCAGCGTTTTCAATGGAGCATCAAGTTGAATCAACATGAACGAATTGCGTTTTATTCAAAAGTACAAATAGAGACAATCAGGAGCAAAAATTATTGAGAGAAACGCATAAGTGCCCCCCTCACCCCCAATTCAATGTTGTGTGGATGACTGAAAAGAGTAAATTCAACCCACTTTTTCCAACATTGATCATGGGGGCAGGGGGGAGGCCGACGTACTTTAAAATGGCCAAAAATTTGAAGTCTCGTTATTTTTGCACGCGATTGTCTGAGATGGAGCTGTCTGGGGGTTAGCTGTCCAAAATTTGAAATTTTGCCAAAATCTAGGGATCAAGATGACATGAGATTGATATATTTCAATCAATTAGCCGAAAGTTTTTTGTCCCCCAAAATGTAGAAATTCTGCAAGGAGGCTGCGCGGGGGGGGGGGGGGGTA